TGGCCGCCAGAGTTGTCGTTTACTTCCTCATGAGTACCATTCACCAATGCGCGATCTCGTTTTTTGCACAGTTCACCCTGCAAGTTTTTATGCATTTTTGCTCTTGCAACAGGCAGCAAAAAAATCGGTTGTCGATAAGGTAGCAACAAGCTTTGAACGTTGGATTTAACTTTCACTCGTGGTTGTGATATCTTGCACATCGCCTATCTGACGAGAAATTTCATTGTTTGTATATTCAAAAAGAGAAATTTCTTCCTTCCTCTTTGTGGGTTTTCAGCCTCCATTGGCATAATTTCATTTTTTTTTAACAAAAAATTTTACAGGATATGATGGAGCTCGGGGACTCCCAGGTGCACCAGGTCGGGACGGTTTTCCAGGTGCTAAGGGCGAGAGAGGTGTTGATGGTTTGCCGGGAATACCAGGAAGAGATGGAGCACCGGGATATCTGGGAGAGCGCGGAGTACCGGGTGCACCAGGTGTAGCGGGATATCCTGGCAATGAAGGAAAGCCAGGACTACCAGGGCTTCCAGGACTTAAAGGTTGGCTGGCTTTATCGATTTCTCGCGCTTTCAGTTAAAAGGCGCCCATAAAATTTTCCAGCGCAAAGACAAAATTTTTTACAGGTTCTCGTGGTGATGATGGATTACCGGGTATCCCAGGACTACCAGGGCCAGTAGGTCCACCTGGAAGAGTCGGTCTTCCTGGAAGGCCTGCTGCTTACAATAAATATCTGCACTCACCAAAAGGTGAACGCGGTGATCCTGGACCACCGGGACAGAAAGGATATCCAGGAGAAGTTGGAAGTCCAGGTTTGTAATTTTGCTGAATAGCGTGCAGTCTAATCCATCACTCTGTTCTGAGGCAGAATTCAAATTCCGGAAATTCTTTTACTCAGAAATCTATCAATTTTTTGAAAAATAGCGATAAGGATTTTACAGCCCGTGGAAAAGATACCAAATTTAAAATTTATTATCTGCGAGAAGCGGTAATCCTCGAAAAATGGGCCGAACGATAATGTATGCCAGTAGTAATCACCTGCTGGCAAGAATGTCGATGGCTCCTTCTTTCGAGGGTTGCTAGAAAGCAAATTGATGGCGACTTCCTGATATACACCAGTGTTGAATACCATCGAAGCGAATGAAGAAATCGTAGAGGGATTGGTTGTCTTACTGATGGAGTCCATAATAAAAAATATATTTGTGGAAAAATTTGATATTTTAGTAGCTCTGTTTCTGTTTATGAGATTAAGAGATAAGATGAAGAGACAAGAACCTGTTTCTGTTTATAAGATTAAGAGATAAGAACTTTTGTGAATCCCATACCTCCCAGTTTTCTCCGCACCCCGCTCCCACGGTATGTCTTAGTAGCCATTCTAGTATTATTGCCACTGTGGGATATTACTGTTTGTTAATTTACACAGCATCGTTAATCAGACCTTTTTCCAGGGCTACAAGGACCGCCAGGACCTGCAGGATTTCCGGGACTACCGGGACCGCCGGGAAATCCCGGCTTGCCTGGCTACCGTGGTGCTAAAGGTGAAATGGGAGTTAATGGATTACCGGGTGCAGCCGGTCGAGTTGGACAGCCAGGCCCTCCAGGACAGCCTGGATACCCCGGGCCACCAGGTGGTTGGGCACCTTCACGCGGCTTCACATTTGCAAGGCATTCACAGACAACCGAAATACCGCAGTGTCCAGCTGGATCGCAAATGTTATGGACTGGTTATTCGTTACTGTACGTACAAGGCAATGGACGTGCCAGTGGTCAAGATCTTGGTAATTTTTTTCTCAGATTTTAAATATGCTAGGATTGCAAAGGCTGCTCTTTGGATAATCGGTGCGTGTATCCCATGTTAGTGATGTTACTGGGATGCTCTCATATGCCAGATGCTGCGAAAACAGGCCCATCAATTCTGGTTTAATTAGAAGCTTGTAAATTTTTGATGAATTTTTGAGTACTGCAAAATGCACAAGATTTGCTAGTCAGAATTGATTAGTTAAAAATTTGGGTAAATTCATACTCCTGTTCCTGCTGTTCTTTTTTCGTCACTTCCCTTCTGGTCATCGATGCATCAGGTAACTTCTCCAAGAATACCAGAACCACTCGGATGTTAGTGGTGTTACTGGAATGCTCCCATAAGCCGGTGACAGTTTTGCCAGGCTTTTTAGTCTTGTGTTTTCATCTCCAGCGATTTCGTCATACTCCGACAATGCTTGCTAATTTTTCTGTTTCACTTAAAAAAGAAGCATGTATAAAAGTAGGGGAATGCTGGGGAGAAAGCAGATAGTGACTGAGTGAATTTGCTTCCAGGTCAGCCAGGATCATGTTTATCGAAATTCAGCCCGATGCCATTCATGTTCTGTAATTTGAACAGCGTATGCCATGTTTCCAGCAGAAATGACTATTCGTTCTGGCTTTCCACTGCTGAACCAATGACGCTAATGATGAATCCGGTACCAATTGCTTGTTCGAGAATGTATAAAACTAGAGCCATATCCGGAAAGAAATTTTTTTAAATCACACACAGAAGCAGCTGGAGTATATCAAGTTCCACAACAGTGCATCCTTAGGCAGATGTTTTTCGGCAGATCGTTCTGGTTAAAAGAATTGAGACTGACATCACGACTGTGAGAAAAAAATCCCCTTAAAATTCCAACTTTCTAGCTTTGCTGGTTCTTGAATTAACAGCTTACCCGGCAAAAACTCTCACAGGCTCTTACGTGAGAACCACGTGGACAAGAGTGTCCATTTTGGAGCTAGGGGCCCATACATGCATGTGGATTAAGCTCCCAAAATTTTAGCCTTTTAGTTTTTGTAAGTCTCGAGATGAAAAATCAGTAAAGGCGAACACACACAGGCAACCCCTCGGCAGTATGTGTTTTTGCATTGCACAGATGCAAAAACGCATAAAAAGCGACTAAAGCCGAAAAAAAAACTTTCATTTTTGACTTAATTTTGACTCACCGTGTCCCTCATTTGCTTGTTTTTTTGAGTATACTACTGCCTGAAAACTGAGCTTTAAACCACAGTAACTCTCAGTCGCATTTGAGCTCTAATTAAGGTATTTTAGGTATCCGGCTTAGCAATTCGGCCGTACATATCACGATGCGCGGTGTGCGAGGTGCCAACACAAATTCTGGCGGTGCATTCGCAAGATTCCAATGTGCCGCAGTGT